ACAACTAAAATCAGGTTTGATAAGTAGGCAGTATTTTGGGAGGATAAGTGAGGAGGTGTTAGAGCTGAAGAGGGAAGGAAGGAATCCAAGAAGAGAGGCAGGTATATTTTTACTTCTTCACTTATTGATAGAAAATTAAGTTGAATAAAGCATGAGGAGAGGGCCTACCAAATATAAACTGATTTCTCAACAATAAAGAGAGTCCTGAACTGTCCAGGAAAAAGAATATTTCAAATTAGGCACAGTTAGTATTCAATGTCCTCTGCCCAGAACCCAAACCAACAAATAAAATCAGCATGCAAATGGTCTCATTCAAGTCACACAAAAAGATACAGAGATAGACCACCTCCCAGAGCACTCCTTTAAAATACCGTTTGACTAGAACCTTTAGTCTCTCAGTAACTGTTTCAGATTTTTGAAGGGATATTATTTTTCATATGTCAAAATCTCCCAGAAAACATAGGACATATAACTATACTCTACTCAGCTACAGAAACAACTTAATAGTATCAAACTATTAGACCCTGAATTCATAGCGCCAGAGGATCAATTCCAAAAGGTACCAGACCACCAACCACAGCCAATGTCACCATCACAACTAGACTAGAGAGGAGACAGGACCAGCTCCAGAACACCTAACAACTGTCCTGCTCAGCTGGCCGAGGTCCAAGTCATAAAGACTGCAAGGAGAATTAGTTCAGGAAGGTACCTCAAGACTCTGAATTACTAAAAGTAACAGATGAATGACTAAACCCTTCAAGGCACAAAAGTACCTGTATCTAGTATTCATGCATTAAAAACTTGTTTTTTTGAATAGTGATAGTATCTGCATTAAAAAATTTTGCTTCCAATTTCAAGGAAGAAATAAAGTGCATATGAAATACTATATTATAGAAAACCTGGAAAGAATACACACATATGAAAGTCAATCAGAGAAAAACAATTATATGATCTCACTCAAGTGGAATTTAAGAAAGAAAACAGAGAACCATAGGGGAAACATAAAACAAGACAAAATCAGAGAGAGACAAACCATAAGCAACTCTTAATCATAGGAAAGAGTGTTGCTTGGGGAGGGGTTTGGGAGATGGGCTAACTGGGTGATGGACATTAAGGAGGTCATGTGATGTAATGAGCACTGGCTATAAGACTGATGAATCACTGACCTCTACCTCTGAAACCAATAATACACATTAATGTTAACTGATTGAATTTAAATTAAAAAAATAAATAAAATATTAAAAAAAGCAAGCTTCAGGGACATACAATCCAATGAATATTTATTCATAGTATTTCTCAATAGTCTGTTTGTATTTCTCAATAGTCTATTTGTATACCACACTCTACAGGACACAGTGTTCTAAAACGTTGTATCTAAGTAATACATGACAAAAGTAAAACATATTTCTAATTTACGTGTTATGTCTTATATATTCAAATTGGTCTTCAATGGACATTGGTTACTAGCATTTTGAATGTATCACTTTTGCACACTGCCTTTCCATCAAAGGGAAAATGATGTAAACAAATGCCAGTGTCCTGGTGGAGTTGCTTTGTTTATTGTTTTACATAATTCTTTAGTGGGATTAAGGTTTATATAATGCAAACAACTATAGTGACTTTATCATATCAAATTTTGATGTTTGTTGAAATGGAACACACCTTTTGTGAGAAATCTGTAATCCACATGAATCAAATTAGTAAATTTATATAACTGGATGAAAGAAAAAGTTAAACTGGCAAATAATGTAACTGTAGAGTTTTCACTGATTTTTTTTTTTTTTTTTTTTTTTTTTTTTTTTTTTTTTTAGTGGAGCGAGAGAGCAAGAAGAAGGGGTGACGGAGAAAGAGAATCTTAAACAGGCTCCACATCCAATGAGAAGCCTGATGTGGTGCTTGATCTCACGACCCTGAGACCATAACCAAGAGTTGGACGCCTAACAGGCTGAGCTACCCTTAAGTGATTTTTGTTAAAATGAAAATAATACAGAAATCACTATCAGGTCACAGAACCGGAAGACGATACAGAGCTAAAAGTAAGTCCCTCTTGGGTGAAAATGAAAAGGCAAATGTTGGCCTCATTTGGGGGTGCAAAGTCTACCCTAACCCTTGCCTATTCCTTGTCTGTGATACATTGATGGTTTTTAGGTAGAAATGATTAGTACTTTAAATCTAAGTTTAGTCAATAAGTAAATGTTTTTCTAAAAGCTAAGTCACGTAGGAATCTGCAGTTTAGCTTACCTCAAGGTAATAGCCCATCTGATACAAACATAATTAAGTTTATTACTTTAAAAATGAAACAGTATAATGGGAATCACAGAAATACACGATAATTATAGTCAGTTTCCTAACACCACCAAATCATCTTACTTATATAATCTTGATAAATTGAAAACATACCACTCTTTAAAGAAACTTAATATTGAGCGTTTATTCCAGAAAGAACAAAAAACTTCAGGTATTCCACACTGCTCTAGAATTTTGTCCATCATATTTTTTGGTAATTCTCAAGTATTGTTTAGAACTTTAAGTAGGTTTCCCCCTCTTTTTTTTGGTGGAGGTAGGTGTCTGAGAAGTAGAAGGAGACAGATTGGGAATGGTGAAAGGTTGCAAGGGAAGAAGGTAAAGTTGAAGAATATTACTATTTGACAAAAAAAAATACACACACACACACACTCACTCACACACACACTGTATTTTCCTCAACTTACTTTCTCCTTTCTTCACAAAAGCAATTATGTCTTAAAATGTCGGTACCATACAAACTAGAACTTACAAAAATGTGTTCAAGAATATTCACAATCAACATATGACAAAGCACTGTTCATATTGTCTTTAGCAGATGTTTTTCAATAGCATTACTCTTTCTACATTAAATTCCACTTACAGTCAGGTATGACCTGGCATGGAATGTGAAGATTCAAGGTCAAGTTTGAGTTGACATGTCCTGAAATGGAAGTGGTCCATCTTTGTCTTAAAATCAAAACTATAATCTCTAGCACTAGTATGTGGAAATATAATTGTTTTAATTTTCTGACCCCTACGATACCACCGCTTATAAATCATGGCTCTTTGATGTGAACTCCAGATTTTCAAAGGAGGACATAACCTGGCTATTTTAAATATACCTAAAATAACTGCAAGTTTGAGCTCATTCTTCTGTGAAAATCACTAAAACATGGCAAGAGTTTTACAATTTTTCTGTGATGATGTGCAGTGTAATAAGTTACTTGCTAAAGAGGCATTTTCACATAAGCTTGTATGTGTTTCAGATTTAATGTGAATGGGAAGTATTTTAAAACTGTAATTTTACATTTTGTAATCTTCATTCAAGAGTCAAAAAAGATGGGCAAAAAAGTCTGTGGTTAAAAATTTAATGCAAATCCTCCCTTACTCACTTATTCCCAATGGAAGACAGTGCAGGTAGAGCATCAAATAGGGATCAACAGAAAGACAACGTGATCAGGTAAAAGAATATAAAGCAAACAAGGAAATACAGAAGAAAGTGAAAAAGAGAAGAGAAAATAGTACCCTAGAGAACTGGGTAAAAAAAAAAATTTTTTTTTGTAAAGAAAATAAGTTAAAAGGTTTTATAATCAAACTTGTAAGACTATAAATAGGAAAAATCCTGCTCCCCCCACCCCACTTCTGTGTTCTAATCAGCATTTTGTGAACTCAGGGAGGGGGCAGGTGCTGTGGAGAGGGGTGAGGAGGATGGGTTTATGAAGAAACAGGAAGTAGTTTAAGAGCAAATGCCTACAACATGCAAAATATGGTATGCAGACAGTCCTTTAGTTAGCCAACCCAAATTTTCCAAAATTATTTCAAATACAATTCCATCATATCCCTGGAGATTGGTAATAGAACTGAAGATAAAAGGGAAAAAAATCATCTTACATATAAAAAAATGGGGGCGCCTGGGTGGCTCAGTCAGTTAAGCATCTGCCTTCAGCTCAGGTTATGATCCCAGGGTCCTGGGATCGAGCCCCATGTCAGACTCCCCAATCAGCGGAGAGTCTCTTTCTCTCTCTCTGCCTCTGCCCCTCCCCGTTTCTCTCTCTCTCATAAATAAATCTTTAAAAAAAAAATAAAAAGAAATGAAACACTAAAGTATTCTCATAATGACTGAATGTAACCACCCTCAAAATGATAATTTAATGATAGGAAAAAAGAAGAGAAGAAAGAAACGTTAATAAAATTGTAATTTGAAGTTGCAACTCAGCTAATATATAACATTGGCACGTATTTTCACCTCTTCGGACCCCAACATCTATAAAATAGGAGGCTGGAACAAGATGATTATCAAGGGGTCTCAAAGATTTTTTTTTAAAAGGTATTCATTTTTCATCCTCATTGCCAGGAAGGAGACTGTATTTCTAATTCCACAGTCTAAAACAGGAGATGAACAGAGGTGAGTGATAGAACAAGAAACTGAAGCTACTCTTGCAGGATGTTAGAATATGTAGCTCCAGAATAAATCATAAATATACTCGTCTGCCATAGGAGTGCAGTTTTCATCTTACATTTTGACATGAAATAGAGAACACATGCAAAATAATCAAGTTATACTTTAAAAAACTCCTTGGACTTCCTTTAAGGCTATAGTTTCAATATATATATATTTGAAATCAAGATAATTTTCCATAAATATCCTTAGGTTAAAAAAAAGAAAAGGGGGCGCCTGGGTGGCTCAGATGGTTAAGCGTCTGCCTTCGGCTCAGGTCATGATCCCGGGGTCCTGGGATCGAGTCCCGCATCGGGCTCCCTGCTCCTTGGGAGCCTGCTTCTCCCTCTGCCTCTCCCTCTCTCTCTCTCTCTCTGTCTCTCATGAATAAATAAATAAAATCTTAAAAAAAAAAAAAAAAAGAAAAGGCAAGATGGACATTAAAGGTTTATAAGACAATCTTGATGTGAAAAGGTCTGATAGTTCCTTTCCTATGTGGCACAGTATAAAAATCCCCACCCAGGAGAGCTAATGCTGAGAGATGGATGGTACTTACCACAACAGCAAACTGCTCAGGTTCACATAGGTTGTTATAGTCACTCTTGAACTGAGACAATGAACTTAATTGTTCTTGATCAGGAAGATGCTTTATTAGGTTCTAAAAATTAAAACCACAAGAAAATATCTTCACTAAATGTGCTTCTTGAATTCTAGAAAGATTCATCAACTATTGCAAAGAAACCACTGAAAAAGTCAATCTTTACTTTTATTAGGTAACCTCAGCCTTGTACTCAGCCTTACACTGCATTCTCTGCATCTTGAAAGCAGGCAATTTTCCTCTTTTCTCTCTAGAGTTATATATTCAAATCTAGCGCCACTGAATGTTTATTTGATTAACTACAAAACTGAGAAAGAAAAACTCAACCTACACCAAAGGAACAGCTTTCTCACCTGGGTAAATGTGATCGAGAAATTTCAGTCAAAGCCAAACATTTTAACACTTCATTCGAGGGGATAAAAGAAATTATCATATTGCTACTAAAAGGCAAGAGAAAGAAATGAAATTTGGGGAATTTTAATGTAAGTGCTTCCAAGATTTAATGAACATGATTAACAGTTTTAATAATAAAAATTAAAGTATCTCTAAAACAAAGACTAACTTTTCTGATGGGGAAGAAAACTTGAAAAGGCACTGAAGACACAGAACGATGTATTTTGCAGATAAAAAGCTCATAGAGATAACCTTTAGGAACTTAAGTGCCCATGGCCTTTGGCCTGTATCACCTGCAGTCCAGAAACCACAGGTTCTCGGTTATTCTGGCTCCTCCTCTTATCCATGGCCTTTCCCATGCCACACATTTAGACAAGAGAAACACTCCCAATGGATAAAGACCAAATAAACACACAAATTATCTTCCCTGTTAGAATTTTAATGATTACACAATCCTGCGGAAAAAGTCTACACAGCTCTTCTGTATCAAAATATAATTGACTGTAATAGTGTTATAAACAAGTTAGTGTCCTGATATTAAAATTAAGAAACAGACTGGTTGGTGCTCAAAACTCCAGATAATAGCATCAGTATACTCTGTTCAAGCCCAAAGTCAAGTACAAGTTATAATTAAGCCTACATCATGCTATATATATTTATGGGGAAAAACTCCCCCAAAAGTGTCATTAGTTAAAAATAATGTTAGAGAATGTTATATATCAAAGTAGTTAGATCAAAGAACAAGTTTTGGACTCACTGTGTACCTTTGGACAAAAACCTGGTTGACTGGCCAAAAACAAAAAAAGTGGCAATTTAAGATAATCCCTAAAAAAGTATTTGCTATTAATACTACCAACTGAATAAAAGCAATAGAGGATTTTTCCATATAAATAGAAATTTCTCTTATTAAAATTGCCTGAGGCCCAAAGACCTGGTTATGTATGTTTCTTTCAACCATTCTAGCTGACAGCTGGATTATGTGAGTTATTTACTAATCCGGCCTTGAATTTCTTCAGTATCCTTTTAGATGACCATCAAATCCCCTTAAATATCTGTAGTTAACATATAATTAATCCTTTATCATGAATTTATTAATTTTTCACTTGATTAGTTTTACTCTGTAAAGTAATGAAACTATTATGATTTGTACGAATATAAGCCCAAATGTCCCTTGTCTCTCCCTTTACCAAATTCACCATCCTTTCACAAATCCTAAGGTCCTATCAAACTAAACTCTTCACAGTTGCCCCCTGCCCCCCAGCTTTTCCCTCATGGCACAGGGAATTATTAGGGCCAGAATAACTGACCCCTGCTCCATTACTCACACAGCCCTACTGCCTTTTCTACATCCATACTGTATCCAACCCTGCAGAATGCTCACCTCCACACATGTAAATACCCTCACCTCCACACACAGCACAGCGCTCCCCTAACACAACCTCTAATTCTAAATAAATAAACTCTTGATCCAGTCATGTTTATCTTGTAATTATATAGGTAAATGTCATTTCCCTTGCCAAACCATAAATTCCAAAAAGGCAAAATCCATGCCTAATAGAGACTGACATTATGCGCTGCACATGGTGGGTATAATATATACTAAATGAATTAATTACTAGAAGACAAATAAAGGTAAAGAATGAGGCAGAGAGCTGATATCAAAAACAGCATACTACTGATATCTGGTTATATACAAATATGTAATAAGACATGCCAAAATAAAGTTATGACTGTGAACAGAGCTTACCAAAATGGTGATTATTATGTTTTTTCCAAAAATGCCCTATTCAAAGTCGGCAGTGCTTCACTTTACAATTAGGAACATATTTTTAACATTAAAATAAGACTTCAAAGAGCATGAAATTCTTATTTTTTAATCAATCTATAAAAGTTCAAACTAAGTCTTTAGATTTTAAACTCCTAAAACTTGTTTTATATTTAGTAGGTGTGGTAGGCAAAAGATGACCTAAACCACATGCCCCAAGATGTCCACACCTAATCCCAAGAACTTGTGGAAATATTAGATTACATGGCAAAGGGAAATCAGGGTTGTTATCAGCTGACCTTAAAATAGGAAAATTTTTCTGGATTATCTGAACTGCCGAACATAACCACAAAGGTTCTTAAAAGTGGAAGAGAGAGAACAATGGAGCGAGAGGGAGATGTAATTATGAAAGAAAGAAGAGAGGCAACATTGCTTCAAAGTTGAAGAAACGTGTCCCAAGCCAAGGAATGTGGGCAGCCATGAGGAGCCAGGAAAAGACAAAGAAAAGATTCTTTTCTAAATCCTATAGAAAAGGATGCAAGCCTGCCAACACATTGACTTTAGCATGGTAAGACACACGCCAGATTTCTGTTCAATAGAAATGTAGGCTGATACATTTGTGTTATTTTCAGCAACTAAAGTTGTGGTAAACTGTTACAGCAGCAATAGAAAACTAATATATTAAGAAATTTTACGGAACTGGATGATCTTTGGACATGAATTTAAAAAATCCAAATTCTTCCCCCATCTCTGTCCAAGAGCCACCTGAACATCCAACACATTCATGTAATCAAGTTAAAAGCTACTCTGTAAATATCAAATGCATTAGGAAAAATACAGACATATATTAAGTAGAAAAATTTTCTTTAAGGAACTTGAAGTCTACTCCCAACAAGGCACATTTACAATCAACAGTCACAAAGACAAAAATCTAGTAAAAAGAAAGTGCTAGAGAATGAAGGCTTCAAGAGTTACTGGATCACATTGTTTGAGTGTCTCAGCGATTCACAACGCAAACTCCTACTAGGATTATGTCACAATCACATTGGGAAGACAAGGTAGGAGAGGCAAAACCAAAGGCTGCTAAAGATACCATCAACTGATGGATTAAATGTCTAAAATAATTTTAAACATGTGTTGACACTAACAATCTCTGGTTTCTTTTTATTGCTAAAAACATCCTTCTTCTAAGTACATCCATTGTAAGAATGAAAGATAGTAAACAGAAGATATTATTCTCTCACTATATAATTTGTGGTTTGATTCGCCGACTTTACGTTTTATCAAGATATGCATTATTGATGCCTTATGTAGAATTCAGCGAACAACTCTGGTACCGTACTAGCATTCCTTAAATACTACTGTGGCTAAAAACCATTTAAAAAACCTCGCAGCCACCTGAATGAATTCAGAATGCTATGCCCACAATTTCTAGTACTCGTAGGAACACAAAATGACTCAAGGAAGGGTTGTTAAGAAAAGGTAACTTTAAATAAAGTTACCCTCTATCTTCTGTATCAAATCATAATATGACCTTATAAGACAAAAGTCTAAGAAAAACATATTCTAAAAGGATTATACAAATAAATTTTAACTTATTACTAATCTTAACTGTAACCAAAACAAAAACATATATATAAAATTAAACAATTTGCCTTTCAGAAACAGTCATTTAAAATAATTGAAATGTAATCATTTTGATAGCATTACATTTGGTTTGCAGTTAAGAGAAGATGCAGAGTTTTATCTCCTGGCAAAGCAGAAGTTATGCTAAAACTAATTATGCAGCAATGATTTTCCAGTTGAATGATTTGGTTTAAGAATTTTGCTTCACTTACAGATTTCTATTTAATGAGAAGCTTGCAATGAAATATTGGAATTTAAGCTCTCTGCCAGTTTATTTACCTGAATCATAGACTCTGCCAACTGTGTTTCATCCACTTCCAGTATCATCATTTTGATTTCCTCATATGGCACCCGAAAAGAGCTCAGGAAGATTGCTAAAAGGAGGAGGGAGAGGTTCATAATGAGTGAGGGAAGAAAAGAATTTGAGATGTAGTTCTCTCTAAAAAATCAAAAATGATCCATAAAATGAGAGACTTTAAACACTGAATGTAATTACAATAGGGGAAAGGCTCATTAGCACATTTTCTATTCTAGCTTTACAACTACTATTTAAGCAACAGTCCTTTATTATTATGCTGGTTACAAGGTTGATTTTTAATGCTTAATTATTAGCCTATCACAGAATGGTGCCAATTTTCATGTGATTAAAAAAAAAACCCTGAAATATATTTGGTATGCCATAAAAACATCACATTGTAATAAAAAGAACCATGAAACTCCAAGATGCACATGTAATATTTGTCTAAATGTGTTTCTAGCTTGTATAATATCTTCCAGTCCTAAGTAGTTCACAAAAAATATTTTAAGAAACCTGCTAAGTAGTGCATTAACACTATTTTAAGTTATAATAGCACTTCCCTGTTTCAAAATATTATAGACAATATCCCAGAAAAATAGTCTCTGCATGTAACTAAAGCTTGAAAATCCAATATTAGAAAACAAATTTTCCTGAAAAACTATCCAAATGGATTAGATTGGATAATATATCCAATATAGATTGGATAAAATTACTAAGAATTTCAACATTATTTTTTCTAATGCCTCATATATCTAATATTAAAACACAACGATCTTCTCAAAAGCTATTGAGGTAAGTAAGGATATTTTCACAGTATTAGATTCAAGGCTTTTGCTGTTTCCTCCCTTATTCTACTATTAATGTCTCTTCTTCAGTGACAGATGTCACTTCTTGAACATACTCAGAATTTGCTACCACTAGCCCACTAATTTAGATGCTAAACTTATGTCATGTTGTCTGTAGGCATTTTCATAGAAAGACAGCATTTTTTACAAGATTGAGAAAACATGATCTACTTCTTTCCTGAAAGCTGTATTCCATATACCTGAGGATACCGCAGATCAACTACAAATAAGCAACAAGGGCACCGTCTGTGTTCTCATCACCAGCTTCACTGACACATTTCTGAACTCAAATAGTCATAAATATGGGATAACAATGCTAGAAATTATGGATGGGTATAATCCTTAATATCCCAACAAGATGGAATAAACGATATAAATGTTACTGCAACAGAGATTAATGAAATTTTAACAGGATAACCCCATAGTGGACACTAAAAAGCACAAAAATAGATTAACTATATGATCTCAAAGAAATCATAAGTAATTAATGGGAAGAGAAGATCAAAATCCATAGATCATGTACAAGTTGTATATGATTGTAGAATTAAATGTAAATATTAACAAAAACAAATACTAAAAGAAATTTCACATGTCCATTTAGCTCCTTTATGGTAAAAGAATATCTTAATCATAAAAGCTGACACCATAAAAGGGAAACACCATCAAAGCACCAAAACAATTAAAAAACAAGGAAACTGAGGGGATAAATCTGCTTCAAGATTGAAAGCATTTGTTTTTTCTTCATTTAGAATATCCTGAGATCTAAGAAAGAAAATGAGCAAAATGTAGGCAGTCTTACATAAAAGTAAGAAAAAAAGGCAAAAAAGATTATGTAATATGTTAAACCTTAGGAGCAAGCAAACTGAAAAGGCAAATTGTTAAAACATACCTGAATTGTAAATTTAGTAAGATTAAGCAATCTTTGAAATTATTAATTTCCTTTGAGAAGCAATAAATTTCACTCAAGAAACCTAGTCTATGGATACAACATGGAAATATAGGAAAGATTATAACATTAAATACAAAGATCAAAGAATACTCTGAAGAATATAGTCGTTGAGAGAAAAAAATATATACTTTTATATACTTTAGTCATTATGGCAAAGTGGAGAAATGCCCTTGAAATATCTACCTCCTCCATCCTGAAAAGGATATTTTTTATCTTAATCAAAAAATACCCTTTGCATAGCATAAGGTATAGACCTCTCCAATCACTACATTGTACAACTGAAACTAATCAAACACTGTGCAAGACTTCAAGAATAGAAAACCTTGAAATATCTAAAAAACATACATATGTGCGTGCACGTGTGTGTGTGTGTGTGTGTGTAAATCCTAAATTCATTTCTAAGCTGTCCTGAAAGGAAGGAAAATAGAAATCCTGGGAGAAAAAATATTTTAAAAAATGGAAGTTAGAAATAATGGCCAGGAAAAAAAAGAAAAAGATTATTAAGAAGAAACAAGATTTGGGGGAGAAAAAACTTGGAAATTAGAAAAAAATTTCATAAAAAAAATATATATAAATACATTAAGCTACTATATATAATATATATTAAACTACTGACATTAAAAACTCAACCTATGGATCAGACATCAGATAAAGAGAAAACTGAGGACATCAAAGACATAGGCAAAGAAGTGATCCAAAACAAATTTAAAGAGATGGAAAAACACTAAGTTAAGAGACACAGAAGAGGAATAAAGTACCTTAAAATGTCTGCTTGGAGTTGCAAAAGGCAATCACACAAAGAACACAGTTGAAGAAAATCTTATCTGAAGAGAAAACGTCAGAATTTTCCAGAATTATAGAGAGATACAAATCATCACAATAAGAAGGCCCAACAAATCCCAAATAGAGCCCCACTAGATCCTTATAAAACACATGGCGCTGGTAAGGTTGGGAAGGGCAAACATTCAAGCACTGATGGTGGCAGAATACATTTGGTACAGACACAGAACAGTATGTACCTCGAGCAGGCAGTCACCTGTTTCTGCTGAGAGAAACAATACTAACTATTTTAGGTTTTTTAAGCCCGACAGAGTCTCTCTCACAACTGGTCAACTGTGCTAGTGTAGCACAGAAGCAGCCGTGGACAGTATACGGTCAGATGTCCTGGCTAAGTTCCAACAGACTGCGTTTCAACAAACAGGGAAAAGCAAGATTTAGCCTGAGGGCCATAATTTGCCACACCCTGCCTCAGTACAACCAAAAATGGGAAACCACCCAAGAGTCAACCAAGGGTTAAATGAATAAAGTAGAGCATTCAAAGAATGTGTTGTTAAAACTGCAATAAAAATGAATATACTGCAGCTAGATGCATTAATAAGGTATGATTTTATTTATGTACAATTCAAAGTCAGTCAAAACCAAACAACTTATTTAGGAATATGTACATGGTTGGTAAAACTATAAAGAAAAAGAAGGAAAGATTTAAACCACGATTTAAGATAACGATACCTCGCATGGGAAGGGAGGTAAAATGGGAAAAGGTAATACTGAAGTCTCTTAGTCATCTTCTCTTTCTTTAGCTGTGGGTGCTTGATTTATATCATGAAACTGTAACATGCATTTACATATTCGCTCCGGTATAAAGTCACAACTATTCAATTAAAATAATTTTAAAAGAACAATATGAAAACAAAGACGCATGGGGGAAAAAGGTGGCATAGACTGTGGGTAAAGCATTAAGCTTACTCAAGCAAGGTCTGGCTCCTGTGAGCCTCTCTCAAAAGCCCTGAGAGTGTCCTGCGTGATAAGAGTGTCTTTGTTTACCGGGGGCACTGGGCCACACTAGACAGTCCATGCTAATAATGTGATTTATGGTGGGGGCTTTGGGTCACAGTATTAGCCTGACCTCTCGAAGGTCTGAAAACTAAGGTCAGTCGTACAGGGATTCACCCATTACCAAGACCTAGTAAAAAAGCTGGACACCAAGGCTTCAGTGAGCCTCCCCGGTTGGCAGTAATCCACGCGTATGAGTATTCATCATTGCCAGGAGAAACTAGGACTGTCCATGGCTGAAAACTTCACCCTCAGAACTCTCCTGGACTCTGCCCCATTGTAAGTCTTTCCTTGGCTGATTTTAATCTGTATCATTTAAGCATGAGTCAAATAGCTTTCAGTCAGTTCTGTGAGTCCTTCTAACAAATCATCATACTTAAGAGTGGTCTTGGGGACCCCCAAACTTGCCGCTAGTGTCCAAAGTGAAGATGGTCTTGGAGATGAAAAAATTTTGCACATAAAAACCTTCTATGATCGACACAACCCAGCCAGCACTTGGATTACAGGCTGCTGAGCCCCTGAGCAGAGAACCCAGCTATGCTGTGCCAGGACTTCGAACCTACAGAAACTGTGAGGCTATTTTGATGGTATTTCAACAATCTTCACAATCCCATCAAGATACTGTAGAAATCTGTTCACCACAGTGGCTTAACCACCCACAGGGAGTGTTCCTCAAAGGCTGGAGGCAAACAACAGGAAGAGCTCCAGTGGCCTACCCCAGTTGGAGCTCCACCACCACCAACTCATACCCCTGCACAGATGGACAATGGCGTATCCAACAGTTACCTCTACCTCATTATAATGTTAAAATCTCCACTGGAGGAGGAACACAAGCTTCATTAACATAACATAGGATGCACGTTCAGGCATGTTTTCTAAGTATGCCTGTGTGACCTTATACCCACCTTTGCCTGCAATGATAAAACTGCCCTTTCTGAATATTCATCCTAAACCTAAATAAAAGAAATTCATTCACTCCCACTAGAGGAGTCATAAAAAAAAAAAATAAATAAAAAAAAAAATAAAAAAAACCTTCTATGATCTCACACACTTTTAAAGTATATAAACAATATGAATAAATATAACACAACATGCATAATGAATACAGTAACATATATAGAAAAGATAAAAGGTTAACAGAAGAGTTTATTTTGCGAATGGAATAATTTATTCCTTGACTTTCTGCTATATATGTAATTCACCCACTGCTTTCTGATATTAATTATTATATAGTTAAAATAACATGCACATCCAATACCTATATTTATAAAGACTGAACTGTGTTTTTATAGCTTATGAATAAGGTTTTAGGAAAACATTTGGTCAAAGGGTAAAAAAAAAAAAAAAAAAAAAGAGTTGAAAATGGCCTAGTGCATAAAACACAATTCAGAAGACAAGCCTAGACCTTTAAAAAACAAATTAAAAGTTACTGAGAATATGAGATACTCATTTAAAGCCTCCAAAAGACCCATTAAAGTGACTATTTTTACTAACATGCATCTTATTCTTCAAAATGTGATTATATAGGTCCCAGTGGGCAGCTCTGAGTTCAGTGAAGTGTAACGTGTGATTTTGGAACCAGTCACACATGTTTTCTTCAAGGGAACTTATAAATATTTAAACCTTTACATTAATTCATAGATTACAGGGTTCCTCCCCTTATAGCTCTAATACTCCAAAAATCTGGTAAAGCATATGATCCTTGTCAAACTCCTAAGGCATCTCTTGAGCTGGAGTGGCTGGAATTCTATCTTTTAGGCTGAGCCCAGGGTCTCTGCCAAACCCTTTATGACCTCAAATACAGGGAGAACCTAACACACCCTTGAATCAATAAGTAAATAAAGGAGATTTTAGATCCTTTGCTCAAAATTCTATCAAGTAGTTAAGAGAAATCTAAGAGAAAATATCTGATTTCCAAGTGACAACACAGAGTGTCTTGTCACCATCACAAGACTCTTTTCAGAATTCAGTATCTCAAAAGACTGAATTTCACAGACAAAAACCAGCTGTGAATCAGACTATAATTACGGTCAAGATTATAGGTTGCTAAAGCTTCTTAAAGCTTAAATCATAACACTTGCTACAATCAAAGAGGGCAAGAAGAATCCAGAAATGGATTACATCATAATACGACATGGTTTAAATTCTGGACTTTTCGATCTTATACTTTAAAACGTGTTTACAATTAATTGGATGGATATATATCCTCTAGCTGAAACAAAAAACTACTATCCTCTGTATAATATGATTTTGTTATCTCTAAATAGTATAACCTATACCTGCTGACCATTTTCAAAATAAGCAATCTTATTCAAGTCACCGAACTGCTATACCCACCTGTAACGTCATGCTACTTACTACCTATGTGATAGGGTTGTAGTAAAGATTAAAGGTCCAAATACAGAACTAGATTATAAAGGTAACCAGTAATTATTAGCCATTATTACATTTGAAATCTCATTTAGCACATGTTCTATTACATATAAATAATACCAAAGTCAACTATTCAACTTTGAGATGAATATTTATACTAACTTATCATGGCTGACCCATCTGAAAAGAATTCTATTAAAAATGCTACTTCTTGGGGTGCCTGGTTGGCTCAGTTGGTTAAGCATTTGACTTTGGCTCAGGTCATGATCTGAGGGTCCCAGGGCTCTCTGCTCCACGGGAGTCTGCTTGTCCCTCTCCCTCTGCCCCTCCCCCTGCTCATGTGCACACACTTGCTCTCGCTCTCTCAAATGAATAAATAAAAACTTTAGGTAAATAAATAAATAAAATGGTATTTCTTCAGGACCCCTAATGGGGCTGTTTAGAGTTAAGCCTAGGAATCAGTAATGCCAAGTCATGGACACTTTCCAAGAAAAACTCTCTTTCAGATCACAGAGAATAGAACTGTTTGACATTATCTAAGTTAATAATGCTTTGAAGTCAATGTTCCTTTAAAGGCAAAAATTCCCTGAAATACCTGTATCATGTAACAGTCCCCAAAATCTCAGTAGTCTAAGCACACACACACATATCCACATCCACAAATCATTTATAATTCAGACTACATGTCCATTACACGTCAGAAAGAGCCCTGACATCATCTTCACATCAGGGTGATGGACACCACTTTGACGGCCATCCTGGGTGCAGGGGAAAGAGCACTGGAGTTTCTCACACCAGGAATAAATGCTTCCACGCGAAAGCTACCTCATCTCCCCTTACACTGTCATTGGCCCAAGAAGTCACATGGTGACATCTACCTTCAAGGGCATAGGGATGTGCAATCAGCTTGTGCCCAGAAATAGATAGTATCTTGGCCAATCATGTTACTATCTACACACTATCCATGAGGATCATGGCGCAACCACAATGCAGACAAGGTGCAGCCCTCTGTCATAGCAAGCAGGAAAGGATGGAGGTCTCAACCTGCACAGAAGGAATATCAACTCTGTCCTTTACACTTACTGCCTCCAACAGAATTCCTTCTCTAATCCATAGCATGGATCTTTAGCCTCTTACCAAAGAATTTTTGTTCCCAATCCTGGCTAAAAGCTCTCTTGAGGCATGTAGCAGTGGAAAGGCAGACTAGAAGCCATGTTAACTTCCCATGCCTCTCAATTCTCCACATCAGATTCCTCTAACATTAGAAAGTGATCTATACACATGGTATTATCTCGGTTCCAAGCAAACTATCTTTGATGCATTCAAGTTGCAGTTAGAAAGGAGTTAGAAGCAAAACTCTTTGCTCTCTTCTCCTCCTAGTAATTCAATCAGGGAGACAATTCAATACTAAGTATTTAGCTCCTGTAACAGTAATTAAATCTAAAATATTTCCAGTCATTACTTTTGAGGAAAGGCTTTCAACTGCTCAGATGGGATAATGGAATTCATTTTACTCATCATCCTAATTTCCATTAATATTCCAACCTCTTTTGTGTGTGATCAAGTATCAAAAATAATAGAGATTCAGAGGTATAAAAGAAATAATCTGTTATCACTTTTTAAAATATGATGTCATCACCTAAATTTCTTAACTCGTTATTTATATACTTAGACAAAGGGTAGCTTTTTTTTTTTCCCCCAGTTATAGGAGATATATTTTCATTCTAAATACTTTCCTTAGCTTTATTTTCTAATAAGCATTTTTTGAAGAATTTAACCCATAAATTGCCTAAAGGGAAGGAATTATCTTTGAAGTTATTCTGCAAATAATATTAAAATAAAAAAATGAAAAACAAGTCATAAAGAAAATGAAATAATTTACAGGAACCACCTCCAGTGTTTTACTAATGTAATAGTATTGAAGTTTCATACGTACAAAGGTTCTGAGCAATTTTAGAATCTAAAAATTTAAGCTCTTTAATTTTTTTCTTAACAGCTTTCTTCTCTTCAAAATCTTCCTCTTCTCTTCTCTCTGTAAAACCAAGGAGAGATCCACGTCAGTCAGGCATTCAGCAGCAAAAGGACAGGTTGTGAACTATTATCAAAGCATCTAAAAAAGATAAAATTCTCTTAAATAACATGGTTATAAAAGTAATAGATATCCCAAGACCTCGACTGTTTTAGATAGGCACTAATGGTTCTTACGCTAGAAAAACTGAGTAGATACTTAAAGGTCTGACAGCAAGAACAAAACTGATGTGCATTATGGAAACCATGGGTACAAGAATGAGAACACTTAGCTCATTTGAACAGTATACAGGACACGATTACAGAAATGAATATACTTACACTTAAAGTAGGTTAAGAAGTTAGCTCTAAGAGTGCTAAGCAATCACACACATACAGCTATTTTATGTCTGAGAGACCACCCTTATATAAAAATATAGCTCCTACTAAACTGGAAGAGTGGGTGGTTTATAATTTGGTGTCCAAATCTTTGAAAACAGTCAAAATTTGATATTTAGCTTATTTTATCTGAGGGCTTCAGAAGCAACAAATGCATCTAACCTCCCTATCCTTAGTAAAAAATAAGAGAATAAATGTATCATGCTAAATATCAATCTATGACCTGTCCTTACAGCAAGGTATAGGACAGTCAAGGTTAAAAGCTGGAACCAATAGTGATCCTATCATTTTCCCTCTCCTTTGTGTCCACGGATAGCACTTCTGGTCAAAGCCAGTCATCTTACAAAATCAAGATCTTGATAACAAAAAAATAATGGAGCAAAGTGTTTTAGATATGTACAAATAAATCACTAATATTGGGGAAAATAGCTGCCAAAAGCATTATATAAGATGGCACATTATATCAAAAAAGACTATTATAATTACATATTTTGGTACATAATGTGAGACAGGGATCAAGTTTTATATTTTTCAAAATATTTATTAAGTAATTACCTCTATCATTGTATTAATAGTCATCTTTCTCAACTGATTTTATATTACACTTTTATCCTATAGTTGTTATTCTGGGCTTCTAATTCTGTTCCACTGTTCTAAGTACTACATCTTAATTGAATGTCCAAATTATTTTTCTTCCCCTTCTCAATTTTCTTCCCTTTTCTCATTTATTTCTTCACATGAACTTTAGAGTAATTCAAAATTCCAGAAATAAAATTCATTTGAACTGTATTTGATTCATGAGACATCTGTAAATAAATTCAAGGAGATTTGGTATGTTGACAATTTTCAGAATTCCCAGTCATCAACATGACATGCATTTATAATTATTCGGCTTAGCACAGTGTCTTCGTAGGCAGACTGTACATTCATTGTTAGTGTTAGGTGTCCTACGTATATCTTAGTTATACCCTAAAGTATGGGGGTGGGAGGCGGAGAGGTCCCTTAATTCTACCCTTTCCACTGTACTTTTTAACTAGTTACTACTGGAATATAGAAACTTGCATACATGTTTTATCATCAGCAACTCTACTTATTCTTTCATTCAAGTGAATATTAAGCACCCATTAAAAGGGACTGTGCTAGGCAATATAGATACAATGTTAGACAAAATAGAGACATCCTGGCCTCACAGAATTTAAAGACCAAGAGTGGTGAATGTGAAGCAAATGTCAACTACAATACATAGATTAGTCTGCAATGTTTTGATAAGAACCCCATAACCCATTCTTAACAGTGAACAGTTAACCCATCCCCCTGGCTCCTACTTTTCCTCTGCTCAAGCCCACCATCCTTTCTCACCTGCGTCACAACTGCTTTCTAACCCATCTCCCACTTCCTGGCTTGACCAACTGCTGTCTCCGTACCACAGGGCAGCCAAGACTCCTGAGCAACATTAGTGGAAGAGCTTTCCCTTACTGCCTTACGGGCAACAATCACCCCTCAGTATTCCCTAACACCGTCATTCTGCCCCTTTATGCGCCTCCAAAGCACCTACTCCTCACCTACTATAAATCATCTTTCTCCCCCCATTACAAAACAAGTCTCTTAAATGTAGAAACTTTGTTCATCATTATATCCTTAGCACCCCAAAGTAAGGCCTGGAACACACGTCGCAGGTATTCAATAAATACCAGTGGGGTGTATGTTTGTATGTATGAAGCTGCAGACCAAAGGAGAAAGAAAGGGCACTCGGGGCAACCCAAACCCAGCAGATGATGATGGTGCTTATCTAATTCAGCAACAAATGAGAAACAGGTTTGAACAGTCCAGTTTTAAACATGTTCTGTTTGAGAAGCTCTGGCACATCCACACAGTCACGTGTACAGAGGTGGAAAAGAGTAATCTGGAACGGAGATACAAGTATCTATCCTTCCTCCAGTTATTCTGCTCACTGTCCTAGATTTTCCAGGAACCGGCAAAAAGTGACACGTTTGTCACCTTATTCCTAGTATTCAAACCTCCTATCAGTTAAAGCTTTCAGATGAAGGCTAATAAAAATTATGGTAGTGGACTTCCTTTCCTTAACCTGACCAAGTGGCAAACCTCTACTTTTTAGAAAATGTACATTTTTCTTATCTTTATCTGCAAAAAAAAAAAGCCAGATTCTTTTTTTAACCAGTTCATTTCTCAACACCAATATCCTTTGACATTCTGAAATATGTGCTAGCCTATCTAAAGAAAAAAGTCAAAGAAACTAGTAACCTTTAATTTTAAGCAATATGCTCTGCCCATCTCCAAGGCATTCCACTGAACACATTCTGTTTCACTTGCTCACATAATTCTCATCATCACTCATACTACTGCTAGACTCATAATCACAATGAGAAAAAGAATGCTTAGGGCAAGTAACTTCAGGCAACGGATATGATAAAAGAGTGATCACAAGACTTTCTCTCCAATATTCTTTCCACTAGTTTTGGAATATATTAGGTGTCACGTTAAAAAAAAAAAGAGCGGGGTAACCAAGTAATCTTGACCAGTTCTACCTCCAAATCGAGGCCGACGTGATTTTAAATAATTCTGCCTTTTCATAAAAGTGACAAATTAGAGTCTGAGTTTAATGTATCAGCATACCCATAACACAATGAAATTACAGTTTTTCTCCTCTCTTCTGTTACCATATAGTCGAAGGATGGTTGGAAAAAGATGGAACTGAAATAGTGAGCAGAATATGGATAAAGGGATAAGCAGCAGCAAAGTTTTCTGAGATAAAAGGATTAAAACACACACACACACACACACACACACACACACACACACACACACACACACACAGTAGAAATCAGATAATCACTCTATTAGCCAAATAAGACTGAGTTGGATAAAATCTTCAACATGGAAAAATAATAAAAAGTGAAAATGAAAAAAAAAAATGAAGCTAGATAACAGACTGCCTCAAATCAGTGTAATACCAGTGAAAATGTTTATGCAAAGGTCCTGATAAAACAGGACCCAAATGTTGGCAGCAACAATAAACATGCATTCAAGAGGAATACGAACAAATGAGGATATTTAATAAGTTCATACAAAAAATCCTATTCATTTACCCGTGGTGATGTCATTTCTGTGAGCTACTACCCAGGACAGCGTGTAGGGTCCTGCAGGCAGCTCAGGCTGGGCATCTCCAACCAGGTCCTGCATGCCCAGCCCCACCACATACCCACCACTGAAGCCCACTGTGGCTTACATCCCTCATCTAGGACCTGGGGACACTGGCCCTCTAAGAGGAGTTGTGAAAACGAAATAGGACAATAATTACCTTCCCGTAACCTTCCCTCAGGCTCCACGGTAACAGGGAAATGAGAGACAAGAATCAGAAGGCCTAACTGCAGTTTGTGAGTCAAGAGAGGACATTTTGGACTCATCCCATCCACAGGTAGAGCTCTTTTTCTAAGGCTATTATAAAATACACTTTCACTAAAAGACTAAATTTTCTCAAGATGAAACTCTTGAATCATAAAGTCAGACTATTAGTGCCATCTATACTTGGGATCTAGTTTTGCCATTAGAGGTCTGTGTTTAATCTTATTTCCTAGAGACGTTGTGTAAGACGGCATTTTTCCAACCGAAGATTAATACTGTTCAAAAACAGTTCTGATCACTAACACAGCATATGCCGCATTTTATGAGGGTTTTATGTCAGAATGAAGTCAAAGATGACAAAACTTTCTATGTTGCCAAGAGCCATGAACCGAAAAAGTCTTTTTTCTCTTTATTCTTTTTCTATTTTCCAAAGTTTCAAATATAGCAGCAAAATTATATAAAGAATCTCCTTTCAAAATCTTTGCTTTCATACTAAATTTTCCATTAAAAATCATAATTCCATGGTACATGGTTATACAGTTTATTCCAGTTCATTTTCCATTATGCTCTAATCAAATTGATTAAAAATGTGACTTTTTTCAGGAGTAAGAGTCCACATATTCTATCATACATTATTTCACCATGGCAAAGAATTCTAGAATACGCAGTCCTAAACGTGTAAGTAGCTAGTGGCAGCACAAAAGGCAATAACACAGTTTTCTCTTTCCATAATGGGATATTCTAAATCAATGAATGCTAATAATTATTTATTTTTATTGGTGCTTCCTGGTTAAACATATCTCACGTCAGTATGTTTTTAAAATACTACACATTTCAATTTTTTTCTGGTATTCATTTGACACAAATGCTATTAAATTTTACATGTTAAATGTTCACAATAAACTGCCTCTGTTCATTAGATTACACTAGCCTTGAGAGGATAAAAGGAAGTGTACCAGATTAAATAAGCATTCTCTATGACACTGAGAGAAGCCAATAAAATCATCTCAACTACAGAAATAAAGCAAGCATATATCATGTACTTAGGAAATGACAACCGAGGCCTAGCACAATCTCCACATAAGGCAAAAGGCAGGGGCAGGAAGACACCCATAAACTAGAGATTCTTTGTGTTAATTGTACTTGTTTTTCTTCTAGCTTTCTAACTGTTGAGGTTCTAAAAGGCTAACAAAGAGTATCAAGATTTTATAGTGTCCAGATTCTAGAAGAACCATCTGTGAAGTTTAACCACTTCATTCTACT